TAGATAGATAGATAGATAGATAGATAGATAGATAGATAGATAGATAGATAGATAGATAGATAGCAAGGGGATTCTACCTCGGCACCACGAAGGCAACTGGATTCCTCTGTATGTAAGCCCTAAGCAGCTATTCTCCTACCTCCAGGAAAATACCTGGCATTCCATGTGGTTACCTATAAAGCTCTTGGCGTGAGCAGACAAGGCATTTTGCTGCCTGGTTATACACAAGATGGGGAGGCTGGGCTGCAGCTGCACAAACGCGACACAAAACCTTTATTCACATCAAATACAAAATTAGATTCTCTAGAAATGTCTCTTTGTGATAAGTAACACCCAGGAGAAAGTAGGGAGACAACACAGCAATTAGCAGCTGTAGGGCCATCTCCCTGTGACGTACCCTTCCTCCCTCTGGGGAAGGGAGCAAATGGCTGTGACTAGGCTTGGCTCCAGGCCTGCAGGGGACAGAGAAGGGGGACAGACGTGGGACGACAATGAGTGCAGAAGCAGTTTAAACTCTTCCCCTGCTGTGGGCACAGGATCAGGCAGTGAAATTTAGGGAAGAATGGAAGAAGGATGAAAACGCAGTTGACGTGACGTAGCTTCTGCTGAGGCATTACCATTTCTACTCATTCATTTGGGCACTAGGGCTAAGCAGGATACTGAGGAAAAAATAGACATGGGCCCACAGCCCTCCCACTGCAAATTCACTTGCTTTGACCAATGGCCATAAACATAAAGTAGGCACTTCAGAAAACTGGTCTTTAATGTATCTCACAAGGGGGCTGGCTCTTTTTTGCACTACAGCCCCGGTATTGCTCCGTGGCACATCCTCTCATGTTCGCACTCAAGGTGACTTGGCTGTCTAGAAAGGGACTCACTCTTGTATCCACCAAGGGCTGCTTCCAGAGAGACCAAGGTGGAGTAGGCCTAGCAGCATGAGGAGGGTTAGGATGTTGAATGGATGAGACCCAGTTGGGCAGGTGGGCAAGGGGCCAACGTTTCCACAGGGCAGTTAAATGCAGCCATGGTGAACAACATGGAGATGAGACATGGTGAAGGGAGAACACCCCAGGCAAGAACACGGCAACAGCAGAGCAAAGGGTCAGATTGGGGAATCACCACGTTGGGGTACACTGAATAAGGGCTTCATTGTGGCAGCGCCTTCAGGATGGCATTCACTTCCTCTGCCACAGCTGTCAGTGCAAACTCAAACTGGTCCTGGGAATACAAAAACAATTGTGTGAAGTAGCACGGGCATAGGCAAAAGTACTAAAGACATCTGTGTCCCTTTTTTTCTCTGCCACCCTGCTTCCCTTCTTAGAAGAGAGAAGCACTATCCCCTCTAGGAACTCGACTGTTCTAAAAAAGCCCAGCTTCTTTCTAACTTTAGTCTGAATCCTTTAGACTAAAAATGTAAGCACCCTCTCTCTTCTGACTGAGAGGCTCCCCCTCCCCCCAAAAATAGTATAATGCACTTAAAGACAATATCTGACATTTATAAGTAGCCAGGACATTGATTTGTTGTCTAAGACTACGTTCCCTTGAGTAGTCAGCTCTTCCATCAAGAGGACTGCACAGAATTCTTGTGAGCAAGGAAGCATCAAGAAATACCTTGGTCTGCACCACGCCTGGCCTCTGGTCTCTCACGTGCTCCAAGGTGGCTGCAATATCTATCTCCTTCACACCTAGCATGGAGGTGAAGCGGTAAAAATCAGAAATTGGTGAATAAGAAGAACTCTTCTTTGTGTGCTTTGGGGGTACCTGTATCCGTGCATAAATTCCACATTCTCTTAAGCAAAGCAGTCAAATTGATCATTTAATAGGAAAATATCTGAGTAGACACAGAAGAGATTAAAACAAATGTAGAGTAGATGTGTGATGGAAGACATGAGCAGGGAGGATTCTGGAATGGAGCTTCCAGGTTGCCGGGAGTGGGAGGAGAGGTTTCAGGGAAAGCACCTCCTCAGCCCCCAGCCAGTGTGTGGGTAAGTCAAGAGAAGGAGACCAGCCCCTCCCTAAGGCATCATAGTTATAGTTGCTGTTGTTGGGGATTAGATTTAGTCTGGTGAGATTCTGTCCATTAGGTGTAAGCTAATAAAGGAGCTGAATTGATTCTGGACTGTCTCGCTGTTCTTGGGCTGAACCTGACAAGATGGCAGATGGAAAGGATGTAGCCTTCAAAGCATAATTTGAAGGGACGTGATCATTTAATGATGGTGTATAATATCACACTTGCACTCCTTTGGAATTGGCATGATAAACTCTTGTGAAAAAGAGTCACAGTAACAAGAAATTCAGCCTATATACAAGGCCTTCAGTTAGTAAATAATTTTTCAGCTACATAAACCAATAAATACCTACTTTATGAAGATAGAATGGTATAGGGGCTATCCAATATATTGAGTGGAGTGTTACATTGCCTGTTGGACACAAGTTATGCATGATCGCTAAGGAACAAGTTCATTTCTAACAAGATTGCTGACACCAAAAAGTTGAGAACAGCAGAGGGGTTTATGGCAGATGCCTTTCCAAGGTCTTTAGAAAGTTCATTTGCTGTTACAGAGAATTAGCCTCTTGTGAAAGAAAAATGTTAGTCTGAAAAAGAGGAAAATAATCAGAAGGAATCAATATCTTGGGAGATAAACTAAGAAAGGATTATTGAAGGAGGTGTTTCTATTTCAAGAA